AACAGTAAATAAAGAAGTAAAGCAAACAATTCCCTTCTAGTTATGACCTTTGTACTCGGTTGCTGCTTGATATAGGTTGCTAAGCCTTTAAAAACTTTTTTAGGTTTTTATATATACATTTAAATAATAAAATCAAATTACTACATTAATATTTACTTTTAAATTAACAACTTGAGTAATGTATAGTTCTAAAATTTGAATTATAATCTACAGTTTGATACCAAACTTATTGACATAAATTCATAGTAGGTCAATAAAATTTTGAATGCGAGTCAACAAACAAATTTTGTGAAGAAATTAGATTTAACATTCTTCATGCTTCTAGAAGCACATCAGCCTATTCCAACTAGAATCATAATCTGACTGTGCTAAATAATTTTTTTGTTTCATGGAATGAATAATCAACAAATCTTTAAGTGCTAATAATACATTGCTGTAAATAACTGTTACATTATGAAGTTTGATAATTTGTTTAACATTGTAATATGTGTGAAAAAGAAAGATTGTGAAATAAAGCCGACTAAGAAAATGTAAGTTTAGCCTTTCCATACCTGTGCAGTGAGCATCTTTCAGGTGTCAAGTGCACACCAGCATATTAAATATCAAAATTTAAGTAAAAATAATTATCTAAGTCTATTTCGAAAATATTTTATAATGTATATTTTGTAACATAACACTTGGTTCATATAATTTGTAAAGAGGAAATGAAAGAAGTGTTCAGGCTTAAATGTCTGAACAGTTCTGAGTAGTCTTGATAATGAACACCTTGCATTATGCAAATGTGCATACAACTTACTATCTTAATGATCACATTCGCACACTTCAATTCAATGGAGATAAAGAAAAGACGGATGTTATGTAGTATAATAACATTAAGTTTATTTGTGATATTAAGTACAGAAAGTTTAGCCCTTTCCAGTGGCGTAGCAAGGGTTCTCAGCATCCGGGGGCAAAGACACTTTTGGTGCCCCCACCTCTGAAATGTTTTGATTATTTGTTTTGTGACTCATTACCCACTTAATGACAATAACATTTGATATTTATGTCATCCAGTATTGTTCAAAGTCACATAGCTAGAGTAATCTTTCAAGCATACAGAATAAATTTCTGTTATATCCCTAGTTTTGAAACTTATGTTTTATATAAGAAACTAGTCATTTGTGGTGTACATGGATTATAAAACAGATTGATAAAATACTACTGAAGTTTACAAATAACAAATTTTATTAGTTTACAAAACTGTACATATACTTAACTAGATCTTGTACAGGTAACATTCTGGTATTCGTGGTTACATTATATGAACCTTTCATGCTTTTGCTGCTGCAAATGCATCAATTAAACTATCAAAATTTAAGGTATTAAGTACGTCTTTTTCAATACTTAATATTGCCAAGTTACTAAGTCGTTCTTGAGTCATTGAGGTTCTCAAGTATGTAAGAATTAATTTCAGCTTGCTGAAGGACCTTTCATAACTAGCAATAGAAACTTCAATTGTTAACAAAATCTGCAATGCAATTCTTAAATTTGGGAAAGCATTTTCACCACATGAAATTTTAAATGTTAACAAATCAGTTGCAACCATTGGTTCAGGAAAATCGGTTTGTGATCTTTTACTTATCAACATTCTACAGTCTTTAATTTCTCTGTACAATTCTGGTCCATCAATATCCCCTGGATAGCTTTTGCTAAGTCAGAACATTTTTCTTGCAATTTTTCTTCTTTGAAATCTCCAGAAACAATATTTTGCACATCTAATAGAAATCCAAACCATGAATCTAAATCTAGTAAGCGAGAAAATCTTCCTGTTATTTCTGTAATCAAGTGATCAATAACATCCTTCATGATGCAATAAATTTCCTGTTCAGCAGTCAATCTAGCATCAGCTGCATTTTCACCTGGCATTTGTTTACGACATATTTTTCTTCTTTCAATGGTCAATCCCCATGTTTCACATTGATTCTTGCCCACTTTAAGTGCTTCTTGATAGGACCTTTAACGTGATACTATCAATTTCTCGTTCAAAGAATCAAGATCAACAGCTGCTTCTCTAAAGCTCATTTTTGGGTCCTGAAGACTTTTCTGCACTCGATTGATGGATGATAAAAAGATTTCTCCAAAAATGCAAAAGTACAAGAAAATCAGATGTAAGCAAGCGTTGCAGAAAAAATGATGAGCACCACATTTTGTTTCAGCCGTGTTGCCATTCTCACTTAATTTCTCTAACAGTCCTAGTAATTCATCCAGTTT